GCATGCATCTCCTACATATAAAGGCAATGAAAGGAAAAATTGAAATTGCCCCTGCCACTGCAATTATGGTATTCAAGGAATCAGAAGAAATGGCCAAGTTGAAGCAACAAGAAGTGGAAAGCGGATTCGAACTATTTCGTAAGTTTGCAAAAATGGTGGATCCGGCAGGAAACTGGGCCAACATCACTGTGGCCGGAGTCATGAATTTCATGGGTCGTGGTCGCCGCACTTGAAGAGTATGCAACTTTGAATTTGTCAATAGCAGGGACATGGAACTATGACGTCGCCTCTTTTTGTAATATGTAACGATGGGGTGGCCTGTTGTTGTATTATGTAAGTTTGGAAATAGGATTTTATGGAATGGTGATGCCTCTTTTTGTATTTGTGCGTATACAGTTTATCGGTGTCCAGTTGAGTGGCGATATAGCAGCAATAACTATACAATAAACATGCGTATAGTGGCAATATTATGTCAATAAGTGTGCAATAGAGTAGTGATAGGGTTACAATATGATCATATTACAGTACGTACTGCATCAGAATGTTTTTAAAATTATTTGGTCCAAAAAATACAAAAATACAAAAAAAAAAATTAATTACAACCTGGAAAAAGGATGAATTATACATCTCTTAAAAGACATATGGCCTACATTACAAACCTTCAAAATGAACTCTATATATATAATGCATGCCTTGTAGCACCATCACATCCCCCCCTAAATTACAGAAACATGACACCCCAAAACCTCATGCTCCTTCCTCTTTCAACCCCTAAATTATCCATTGGATGCCTAATACTAGATGACTGCTTGGGGGGTGGGATACCCTGCAACTCCAGAACAGAATTGGTAGGGGAGAGTGGTTCCCGGAAGACGCAGCTTTGTCTCCAACTTACGCTACGAGGTCAGCTCCCACCCTTACATGGCGGACTAGGGGCCTCCTCCGTCTACATATTCACAGAATTCAGCTTCCAACAACTAGGCAACCTTTATCATGCATCGTACCCCAACATAATAAGGTTGGAGCCATTGGAGGACATATATGGTTGTGGTGTTCATGATGCTCAACAACTCATCCATGTCCTTGGAGACCTGGAAGCATTTATTGGCATTGATCACACCTGCCTACCAGTGAAACTCATTGTCATTGACTCCATTGCTGCATTGTTCCGATCACAGTATCAGACAACTCCGGCAGATTTCAAACGGCAGTCTGAAATGTTCTTCAACATATCTGGGAAATTGAAGGGTTTAGCAAATAAGTTTGGGTTGGCTGTGGTTGTCACCAAATTACAGACCTTCAAAATGAACTCTATATATATAGTGCATGCCTTGTAGCACCATCACATCCCCCCCCTAAATTACAGAAACATGACACCCCAAAACCTCATGCTCCTTCCTCTTTCAACCCCTAAATTATCCATTGGACATGAGCAATCTATTGGGGTTAACATTCGTAATGCTCCTTCAACAACGATATGTAGTCAAACACATAGGACATTTCACCTTGTATTTGCCCCACATGTGGCCTATGCATCGGCCGAATTTGTAATCACAAAAGAAGGTATAGTCGGAGTATCACGGTAACTGTGTCATAAAGGAATTCAAAGAACTTGAATGTTTTGGATCCATTTGGAATTACATTCCAGGCCCTTTAATTTCGCACTCAAATTATAATAGCAATTTGGAAGTAATACCAGTACAATAAAAGTACAATATAATAGCAATCTGGACGCAATACAGCATGTTGTAGCAATGCAACCCAAATTATGCAAATGTAAAAGAATTCTCATTCAACATACCCACCACAAATAAAAGTAAAGTTTATATGACCTACCAAAGCAACAGAAATCATATTGTCTAAGATACATTGCGCAATGGAATAGTGTTTTTACAGGTGCTTTTATTGTGGCCTGCGGAACCACACCTTGAGCACTTTCTTCTAATGGTGCCCTCTCCTTGCGAGGGAATTCTTAACTTCTTTCGTCTGCCTGGCATGACCTTTGCAATGGGAGGCAACACAACTCGACTTCGAACATCTTCAGGAATATCCCACATTCCGTGAGGCTGTATCGGG